TATAGAGACAATGTGCGCAAATTAACATGTTCTCGTCCGGAATATGCATCTAAACTTGCCGCTGGATGTTAAAAAGTCATCCATCATCATGAGAAAAACAACTCATGTATTAAAATGGTGTGTTTCTTTCATATTCCATAATCTTTGTTTTTTCTTTTTTCCCAAAAAGTGAAATAATAGACGCGCAAATATCTGCTCAAAAGATTTTAAAGTCTTTTACCATTTATTTAATTATGTTTAAAGTCAATATTGTACTGAAGTTTTAGAGGAGATATGATTGATAGTTATTGGACGAACGTCCAGTGGCAAGTACTTCATACTTATTCATGACGGATTTTAGAGAATTCATTTCAAACAGGAAACAAGAAATTGCATGTTGTCATTGAAAATAAGAGAAAAGTCTATAAAGGGGAGGTGATAATAAAGAATCATAAGACCAATAAAATCATACAGCACCATGAGCATATAGAGGCGACAAAAAGACAAACAACAATAACAAAATATAAAAACATGTAACTATAGATTGAACACGAAACTGAGGCCACCACAAAACCGAAAAAATCAGAAATATAAAGATATTTCATAGATAATTTATTCATAGTAAGCAGCCATTTTTGTTGGTTGCTTGTAGCATAGTCTCACCCAAATTTAAAAGAGACCATCAAAAAGGGACCAAATAAACATTGTTCTTGTATGCATTCTGACCAGTTATGCACGCTATCCCGTGTGAATATCGGATATTTAATTTAAGTTACCCAAGCTATATCATTGTGTAGGATAGTTTTGTTTCATTTTTATTTCAGTATTCATTGCAAACAAATATTTGTTCTGGTTGAATGTCACGAACAGTATACACCTTGCCCTCTCATGGCGTCGTTATTTTTATTCTAGTTAAAAGCTTATTTAACCACAGTGCAATATATATGTTTGATATCAAAATTCTCACGTCGTTTCTTCTTATGTACTACTATTTGCAATGTATGTTATAGATCATAGTTCTGTAATTTATTTACACCATCTGTATTAATTATTTAGAATGTTAACTTGGCATGCAATACTTGATAGAAAATGCGGACGTGAAAGAAAGCACTTAATGAAAGTGTCAACATGAGATTACATTCCACGGAGGTTACATTTCGACGATTTCGTCTAAATAAAACAAAATACGTGTATCTAAATGGAAATTTGTATTAAATTTTAATGTTGACACCAATATCGATCTGCTGGATGTAGAATTTTACGGAGAAAAACTACGGCTCTAATTCAAAACTGTCATATTTTTGTTTACATAGCACATACCGGGCTAATTATTACAAAATAACGTGGAAATGAACTTTAAAATAATTTGCAAATTCACAATTTTCTTCTTTTTTTAATTTTTTTTGAATAAAAAATAATTAATTATAGAATTTATTACTATTTATAGCAATTGTACAAGTTCTTGGTACAGTTATTTCGTCACAGAATCTATCGTACCTTAGAAATGGCGGCGTTGAATCAGGATTTGCTTGTTAGCAAAAGTTTAATTTTCGATGTGGCCACAGGCCTCGACCACGCTAAATATTGTTGCAAACTGAGTCAAGGTGTCAACCAATCAAAATTAGAGTAAAATTACTTTGGTCGAGGCCTGTGGCCAATGCGAAATTTAACCAGGAAGTGTGAAATTTAAGAATTTTGACATTTTCAGCGTTCCGGTTTGATTCCGGGTATTACGTCACATAAATGACGTCACAAAAATACGATTTTATACTTCAATAACAAATAACGATATACGTAGACATGTTTTAGCTATAAAGGATCCACCTTATTTCTTTTTTAATTTTGTCACCTCACAGGGCCAATATCGGCACTTCGTGGCCATACTCCTTTTGACCTTATTAAACTAAACCGAATCACTACTTTACCTAAAAGTACATCACCCACAGTTATTCAAAAACATAAATTGTCATACGAGTACTTTATATTTTCTGCATAAAATATAAAGAAATAAATTTAGAAAGTGTATGAACAAAACTTAGCAAGTGATATACTGTCCATAATAGGGACTATATTTGTAGACAACAAAAATCAAAGGACGATAACTATGTCATCGGACCAACTGCCCGAAGTTAAGACATGGGTAAAACATAACAAATATATAACAAACAAAGGGCAAGAACAGTAAATATAAGAATACTTCGTAAAACCATAGAAGGGGGCAAATTTGATAACCTATATGTATAGTTATGTATATATATATGTGTGTGTTTTTGTTTTATTGCATTGTGATTGTCTACCCTTGAGTATGGTTGTTATTTACTTTGTACTTCTATCCAACATGTCCTGTCTAACCCTAACATGTTATTGATCACTAGTGGCTTCTCCTGGTGTCTTCCATGTTCGATGTCATATTATTGACAGAGATACATGTGGTAAGAGGAGTAGGCCAATGCCATCATTAACCTTTCTAGGTTTTCGTGTATTTTATACCAGGGTTATAAAAGATGGGTTTGTTCAAGTAGATAATTACCATATATGCATAAAAGTCGGATAAGTTACATTGTAGCTTTAGACTACTATAGAAAAATTCAACATTAATACTTATATTATAGATTATGACTATATAGATATAGGAAGATGTGGTACGAGTGCCAATGAGACAACTCTCCATCCAAGTAACAATTTATAAAAGTAAACCATTATAGGTCAAGGTACGGCCTTCAACACGGAGCATTGGCTCACACCGAACAGCAAGCTATAAAGGGCCCCAAAAAATTACTAGTGTAAAACCATTCAAATGGGAAAACCAACGGTCTAATCTATATAAAAACGAGAAACGAGAAACATGTATGAACTACATAAACAGACGACAACTACTGTACATCAGATTTCTGACTTAAGACAGGTGCAAACTTTTGCAGCGATATTAAACGTTTAAATGATACCAAATCTTCTCCCTTTTCTGAAACAATAGTATAACGTAACAACATAGAAAGACACACTATAAAATATAAATTGGAAGGCTTAACTCAATCAAAAAACGTAAATTAACACACAATGAACGAATAAATTTGATCTGTGATACCTGAATGCAAATACATAGTTAATAAAAATTATAAGGGATAAATAATTAAGGTCAAAAGTAAATAAACAGGTTTAAACAAAGTTAAAGTATAATACCACTGTGAAATGTTAAACAATATTTAGAAAATCATCACTTTTGAAAAAACTTGCGTCATTTTATACACAGGTAAATGAAAATAATTTTGTGCAAGAATTTAAGGAGAAATGAAATAATTTTGATGTTCATAGTACGAAGAAGTGAAAATTTGTAGTAATACCAAATAATCTGGTATATAGACAAGATCCATGTTAACATTAAATAACAAAAAAAGCATTACAAATAGTATCAACAGGTCAAATTAAAAAGAAAGTACGATTTGAGAGTACTCGCAGTTACTGACAGCTAGTTAAAAGCCAAAACAATTAATAATAAAACACCATCCATCAGAGACTGAAATCAACTAAAACATATCCCAGGGATTTAGTATTTTAACGTCATGAACAGTCAAAGAAGACATGACTTGTGCAATGCCAAAAATAAATGTATCGACAGGTAGTAGGATAGTTAGGAGTGACTTCTTTATAGATAAAAATGAACGTGTGTGTGTCTCTATACATCCCGTTTGAAAAGAAAATACAAATTTAGTTATGTTTTAATTTGCTAATGACAAAATCGATATTAGTGCCAATGTCAACTATATTCAGAGATCTAATTACAACATTGGTACGATAACCCTTAATAATAAGTTTGTTTAAAGGTTCGATGATATATATATATGTAGGTATCTCAATGCTTGGGGTTCTTTAAAATAAAATAAAAAATAACCAAAAAAAAGTCATTTTACGAATAAAAATGTTGGATTACAAGATGTCATTTTTGTTTTATGTAATAGATTAAATATACTGAAGTCTTAACAGACAAATAATTATAACAAAAGGTTCCTATCCTAATTCCGTTGAAAAGAATAACGCTCTGTTATGATGTGTATTTTGAAATTGTTTGATACATTATTGTTTTTGAAATTCAGATTTTTCAACCTCAGAGAAGTGTGATATTCTTATAAGCGGTATTTACACTAATTTATATTTCATAAAGCAGTCTTCTTTTTTGTTTTGTCAAGGAATTAAATGATAATTGCAAATAAAATCTGAGGACTTGGTTCTTGCTATTTTGTTATAAGTTTTGACATTTGCAATTTTTGTTGGATGACGTTTTGCGCTCAAATCGTCGATTCAACAAACAATCACACCGTTTAAACGTAGGTGTGAGGAAATTAAATCGTATAAAAGGCTGTCTACTCGACAAAGAAACAATAGAAGCTTTAACTGTCAGATACAGAAGGACAATATTAAACTACAATATTCTAAACAGTTGTTTAAACTGCAGAACAAGACCTAGTACCATGGGATCAGCATCATCAGTCAGTAGTGAACAATCATACGACAAAATAATCAACGTATTTCAAGCTATACAACAAAACAAGAAAAAAAAACCAATTGAAATGCATAAGATACATTTGAAGAACCATCGCGGTTTCAAATTTTTCAAATACTAAAACAAAACACCAAGATACTTATTAAATGCAGACAAAATATTTGGTGTGAAATTGAAATCTGTTTGAAGTCAATAGAGAGTCAGCAAAACAAATCAATCGTAACCTTAATCAAAATAAACACTATACCCCGAGCCTATCTACAGACGACATCGATTATTGAATGACATTAGAACTTTCTAAATGCAATTTATCACAAAAGTGTATGAACTAGAAAACCACAACCCTTAAAAATCTAAAGATTATCATTCTTTTACAAATACGTATGTAAAAGAATCTGCACCAAAATACATTCTGTTGGTCAATTAAGCTTTTTTTTAATTATATTTGTTTTTTTCTGTTTTTTATATCAGTTTCCACATGAATTAGCAACTATTTTTGAGGAAGAGTAAGAGTTTGCAGAAGGCATCACCATGAACAAGATACCAGATAAACTACTTCTACGAAACCTACTATAACATGACCAAGATAAACTACTACTACGAAACCTGCTGATCACACAAAACCTGATAGAGTAATACAAATGAATAATATCACAGTTTACCAAATTGGGCATACACTTTCATTGAAATGCTTAAATTCATAGCCATGAATAGTAGTCAAGTATTTCCGCGATACGCATAAGGTGAAGATACTGCAGATATTTTTACGGAATGGAACTTATTAGTGCGGACTTCAAGGTTTTAGGATATTGATAATTTTTATTATAATATAAAAATTTATAGTTATATTTTTATGAATAAAATGAGCTGTCAGGTATGACGCAATAGAAACACATGTATATTACTTTCCTTCCCTTTCACCTATGCGAATATTTTGAAGTCTTCGTCATTTATAACATGTATAGAAAGATTCCAAATTTCATATTATGCTTCACTCAAGTTGTTTATTCAAGGTTTTCGAAACAAACCTGCTACTTTAGTCTGTTTAATTATAAAACAAAATAACATGGTTTATCTTAAAGAAACAGAACATACTAACATGAAATTCACACTCATAAGTCGAAGAAAGACATGCAAAACCATGACAAAAAACCAACAAAACATAACACGAGACAAACAAAAGTCTAAAAACACTACATAAAAAACTAAACTAAAGATTGTGCAAAACAAACCCCCAAAAACCCGGAGATGGTCACACAAGTTCTGGTATGATCAACACATCCTACTACACATGTGACCCTGTCGGTGTACAATTTAATAAGCAATGGTAAATCAAATCCATTGATAAGACTGTTTACTATAACGGATTGATAAAGGTTTGATGCTTACACCTAAATTATTACTAATTAAACAAACTGTCGTTATATAAACTCAAAATTAATATTGTTTGGTTTCTTGATACATACTAGTTTTGTCTTAATTTTGTAAAATCGCATTACTTTGCAACTAAGTCATGGCTAAAAAAGAAAAAGACCAACAGACAAACAAAAGTACAGAAACACATCATAGAAAACTACAGACTGAGCAAACGAACCCCACCAAAAACTTCTTTTCTCATGTTAGATACTCTCATTATAGCAATTATAATTCTTATTACCCTAAAGTGTGTCCTAAATATACACCTAGCAATCGTCAAGTTTCATAGCAACAGCTATATAGATATTGACATTTTAACATGAATATGCAAATTTGTTTTTCATGTTTCCTTGTATCTTATATTTTGTCACACAATTTTTTCTGGCAACCATGTTTCTTCATCAATGTAACACCTATATTTAACCAATCGTCAGCCTACTAACCGAAAACCTAGCACTGGTGAAAAATGCTTAGCTACAAATTATAAATAAAAAACTGAACGTGTCTATAAATACACGTGTTGCATCGATATTTAAAGACCAAACTGTTGTTAAGCACCCACCCTACCTCCATGACAAATATGTTGCTGTCCTTGCGGATAAAGCCCCAAACAACATCGTTTTTGTGTGTAAATCACATAACATAAACTGCTTGATAAAGGAATTAGGTATTGGCAATTCACATGGAAACTCAACATGTACCCCAACGATACCAAGGGTGTAATCCTGAATAATCATAGGTCTGTTCTGTTTCATTGGAATTCTAAACAAAGATGAAGAACAGGGTCTCCCTTCACTGTATTGAACTTCTAAATTACATACGTGTAGTTACAAACAACGTTATATTACTTGGCCTTTCAAGTGCTCCACAAATCCTCTTTCTAAAATATTAGTATCAATCAGCAATCAAAGCCGGCATTCAAAGTCATTGTGAAACTAAGTGCTCTAGATGCGACGTGAATCAGATGCGGAAACTTAAAACTTTAAACAATCTGTTATAGTACATATAATCTTAGTCTCTTTCCTCTTGAGTAATATTAAAATATTTTTTCACAAGTTTTCTCTATTGCAAACTAAAAGATAAATTGAAAGAACTGCTCCTTTGTCTCATTTAAAATAATGGCCAACATAGATACAAGTACTTTGTCGTAGGGAGGAATACATTGTTTTTTGTAAAAAAATCACTTTGATTGAAAAAAAAAATCTCTGAAACTGACCTAATGAAGATGTTTGATGTCTTGATTGACAACATCTTTGCAACGTTTGGAGGTTGTTTTTTCAATAACCATCGGCATTCACATGCAAACCAAATGTGCTCCTCTTCTTGCGGACTTTTTCGTCTCACTAAATAATTAAAAGTTTGGTGACTATTTTAACGTGTCTATCCCATCAAACTTAAAATAAAGATTACAACAGATACAGTTACATTATTGAAGGTCTGCCCCGTATTCTTGACTTACATCAAGAAATGGACAACGAGGGTCGGCTGAGAACAAAACTTACGACAAAAAGATGATTTCAGCTTCAAAACTGTGAATATTCCATTTCTATGTAGCAAACGTCCGGCTAGGCCTGGTTGTGATGCATACAATTTCCAGTTGATACAATATCCTAGAGCTTGCATTTCGTATCATGTTTTACTTACTAGAGAGTTGCTGCGTACATGAAAGCTATTAAATCAGGAATTAGTGGTGAAGTTGAAATCATCCTTTCGAAAATTTTACGGACGCCATCAGGAGTTAGTTGACCATTAGGGAATATCTGTTTCACAGATGACGACGGGTATGTTCCAATTGTCATAACCACAATTCCGTCCTCATTGGACACCAGAGGGTTTTTTACAGTGTTTCCATTTTGTTTACCTTTGTATGTATATCTTACTTAGTTTGTATTTTATCGAGAAAATTTATACTATATACGATATGTACTATGAACTACAAAACTTTTTTATCGGCGTCTTTGACAATTTACTATCAACGACAAAACAATTAAGTTGGCGTCTTTGTTCAATTTACTATCAACTAAAACACCTTTTTGTTGGCAACTTTGTTAAATATATTTGTAAATTTGTTTATTATTTCAGTCAGTTGTGGTGTTTTGTATGTATGTTTACACAGTTTTAGCTGCTGGATCCCAATTATTGTCACATTAACCTATAATGTCTGTTTGGGCTACTCACCCAATTTTGTCAATATAACGTAGCAATCAACAACAGTTCGGTACTTTTGTTTAACACTTTCCTCGAATGAAACCTACCACATTTGACCTAGCACCGGGTTTATACTTACATGAATAACACGAAGGGTGCCACATGTGGAGCATGATCTGCTTACCCTTCCAGAGCACCTGAGATTATCCCCGGTTTTTTTATTGTGTCCGTGTTGCTCAATCATTAGTTTTCTGTGTTGTGATTGCGTACTGTTGGTTGTATTTTCGTGTTTTTTTATTTTTTGCCATGGTATTGTCAGTTTTTGTTTTCAATTATCAATTAATGATATGGGTGGTTGCGGTCAAAATCCTACCTTCGAAGGACATGATGCACTTCTTAGTTCGTGTTATGACAATTTAGTTTTTTTTTCTGTGGTAGAGGAAAAACATCAGACCTCATGCAGAGATGCTGATGACGTGTGCACATTTGTTGGTAAACATCTGAATATCTTAATTGCAATCTGATATCCTTGAACTTATATATAAAAACAACTGCGTATTATGTGACAGAACAGGCTTCCGGTAGGTATGATCATTTAAACGGTAACAATCGAATTATATGGTTTGCATATTGATAAAAGATACAAATAATATACAATATATATATATAAATAAGAAGATGTGGTATGAGTGCCAACGAGACAATTCTCCATCCAAGTCACAATGTATGAAAAGTTAACAATTATAGGTCAAAGTACGGCCTTCAACACGGAGCCTTGACTCACACCGAACAGCATGCTATAAAGGGCCCCAAAGTGACTAGTGTAAAACAATTCAAACAGGAAAATCAACGGTCTAATCAATATAAAAAACGAGAAACGAGAAACACCTATGAACCACACCAACAAGCAACAACCACTGAACAACAGGCTCTTGACTTAGGACAGGTTCATAAAAATGCAGCGGGTTTAAACGTCTTAACAGGCGCCAACCTTCACCCTAACCTGAGACAGTAGTGTAACATTACAACATATAAAGACACACTAATGAATAACAATTGAAATGAATTAACTCGATCAAAAAGACATTTAAACAAACACAAGTAAACATACACTAAACAAATAAGTTCGATCTATGACACAATATAAATACAATATTAAAACGTAGGTGCCTTTATAACATAGACGTTACAGGTAGTAATAAAAAAGATGTAGGAACAGTGTTAAAAAGACAACTCTAACCTTGAACAAAATAGCGTTTAATAAAACAACGTACACAGGTGAATTAAAATATAATTATTTTGTTGTTAGGAGTACGGAAGTAAACATTTTTTTACAAAATAAATATATTTGTTGTTCAGAGTACGAGTACAGAAGTGAAAATTTATCGTCATACTAAATACTTATCAAATGTAATACATATTAAAAATAGTGAGACGAGATATAACACAAAATAAGTAAACATTGAATTACAGAAATGCATTATAAACTGTGTCAACAGGTTAAATTAACAATAAAGTACGATTTGAGAGTACTCGCAGTTACTGAAAGCTAGGTAAAAGCCAAAAACAATTAACAAAAAAAAATCATGCATTAGAGTCTAAAATCAATTCAAACACATCCCAGGGATTTAGTGTTTCAATGCCATGGACAGTAAAAGAAGACATGACTTTTGCAATGCCAAAATAAAAATATCGACAGGCAGTAGGATCGTAAGGATTTAACCTTATAATAAATATGTATCATGTTATATATAGATAAAGCAATTTCTAAAGAGAAAATAAACGTGGATGTGTAGTTATACATCCCAAAACTCATTCGAAAAGAATACAATTTAGTTATGTTTTAATTTGTTGATGACAAAATCGATGTTAGCGCCAATGTAAACACTATTCAAAGATGTTATAACAACATTAATAAGATAACCTTTACTAATAAGTTTGTTTAAAGGTTGCATGAGTTTACAAGAATCACATAGTGACTTCCACGCTTTTACTACAATATTACCGTAAAATTTAGGATGTGAAATACCGTTTTAAATACGTTTTCTACAGGTACAGCCAAGTTTACTAAAATCTCTGTATCTATAAAAGAATTTAGTAAATGTTTTAAGTAATTTATGGTAAAGAAATCCCTGACTTAATAATTACCAGTGATGCATTGATAACGTTCGTTAAAATCTATGACATCACTACACACACGGGCATAACTAACGAGTTGGGATATATGAACACC